TACCTATTAAGAGCTTAGCTGCTAACCAAAAGGTCAGCAGTTCAAATCCACCAGGTGCTCCTTGGAAACCCTATGGGTAGTTCTACTCTGTTCCGTAGGGTCACTATGAGTCGGAATCAAGTCGATAGCAATGTTTTTGGTTTTTTTGAGTAGTATTTACCACATTATACATTGCAATAAACTCTAGATTATGCCAATTAATTAATCAATTCAATTAATAAATTATTTTTTTTAAATAAAAGAGTTAAATTGCTTTTCCACCCCAGCTATGGGCTGGGAATAAATTTGGGTCTACTGACGAAATGCTTTCATTATAAAAATATTTTTTGAAATATAATAAAAGGCTATTCAATGTCCAACTTCATCAATAACCCCTAATTATAATACGATTTTTTTTATCCAACCTGTCATAAAATTAATGAAAATATTAGAGGCTGGGAAGACTGTAGTTAGAAGAGTGTATACTATTAGTGAGAACACCTATTATTTAAAAGAGCCACCAAAATGTTCCTGCCTACGCAGATACTGGTTTCTAAATGCTATTCTCCAAAAAAAGGAACCAGGGATCCTTGGAAAGTGGCTGATCTAGGGCTGGGGCAGAAAATATACAAGATGAGCCTGAAGTGCCTTGTTGTGTCAGGAAGTAAGGAAGTGCTAAAAAAGAGGAGGGTGGGCTGGGGTGTAGGGGGAACTTTAGGACACAGAAGCCAACTTGAAAGTGCTCCAATGGCCAAAGCTGGAAAAAATTTGAGCAACAAAATAAATACAGTATTGGATTATAAACTAAAGAATAACATAAGTATCTATGAGTCCACACAAATATAAACAAATAATTATATAGATAAATAAAATGTGAGAGAAGGAACAACTCTCCTTACAAAATAATTCCAATTAATAAATGAAGAAGGGATGTGGGAGATAGAAAATCACCATTAGACAACTATGGGGATGACTGTTCCAGGCTACAATTAGTCATGTGATGCTACAGTTGGTGAGTGAAAATTTAAGGAGAAACAGTATATTTGTATAGCTCTAAAATACCTCTCCTCAAATATTTATTATTTACTGTGGTGGTTTTAACATATGTCCACAGATTCCTTGATACCCCTCCCTCCAAGAGATGGAGTGTAATTCCCATTCTTTTAAGTATGAGCTGGGCTCAGTGACTCTTAAAAAATGAAGTATGGAAAGGGAAAAGCAGTAACTTTACAGTGGTGAAATCTAGTGGATCACTACAAAGTGATCAAGGTTAACATTACCAGTAATAAGTCATGTTGATATCATATAGTGCCTGATGTTATGTGATGGGAAGGAAAATTCATCTGTATGATATTCTTTCCAAATAAACAAATAAAAAAAACAAATACCAAACCCATTGTCGGTGAGTCGATTCCGACTCATCGCGCCCCTATAGGATAGAGTAGAATTGCCCCATACGGTTTCCAAGGAGCAGCTGGTGAATTCCAGCTGCTGACTTTTTGGTTAGCAGCCAAGCTCTTAACCATTTTGCCACCAGGGCTCCAAATATCTGTAAGCTCTTTCTAATAATGAGAAAACATCAGAAAAACAAAAACTGAATGACTTTCTACAAAATACCTAACGAGTACTCTTCACAGTGTCAAGGTCAAGAAAAAATAAGAAATGACTAAGGAACTGTCACAGACTAGAGTTGCTAAGGAGATATGCCGAGTAAATGCAATATAGGACCCTGGATTAAATCCTCAAATAGAAAAAAAAAGAGACATTAATGGAAATACTGGGATATGCAAACAAAATCTGTAGTTTAGTCAATAGTGTAGTACCAAAGTTACTTTCTTAGTCATGGTAAGTGTTCTACAGTTATTTAAAATGTTAACATCAGGGAAAGCTGGATGAGGAACCTATAAGCAGCTTCTGTTCTACTTTTGCAATGCTTTGGTGAGTCTAACATTTCAAAATTAAACTTTAAAAAAAAATACTCCAACTTTAGACCTAGTAATCCTACCTATAGCAATCTAATTTAGGGGAAAATATGTGAGCTGTAGTTAAAGATTTATATATTTACAAATGCTTATGTGTTAAATGCAGCATTATTTAGAATAATTAAATACCTTAAGCAGTGGTTTCTCTTTTGATGGATTAATTTACAGTTTTTGTAATCTCATTTTCAGAGAATGCATGTGAGGAAATATTCATAACGTAACGTTACATGGAAAAGCGGGATATCAAAACACACATCTATATTTATAATGTGGACTCCGGTTTGGTTAAAATAAATGTGAATGTGTTTGTTTGTGTTCACACACAGGAAATGTTCAAAATGGTTATGTCTGGTTGACATAATAAAAGTCATATGTACTTTTATTTTCTTTCACACATCTTTTGAATTATCATTTTTCTAATAAAATTAAAAATACAAGTAAATTGGATGACATATCATTAATGAATGCGTATCTTAAACCTCTTTATCAGAAATAGTTTGGGTATAGTTAGGTAGATGCACGATTTTAGATTATTTGTTTGCTTTTATACCAGGTTAAAAAGCTATTATTATTTCTTTACTGTATTGCTTTATGTGAAAAAATTCATGGTAGAAACTGAAATTTTTTTCCCAAATTTAAGAGGAATTCTATAATAAAAGTAATAGGTCAAGCTAATTCATCCCCCTTCAAATACGCAATAACGTCCATAGCATATGTTAAATACACCGGAGCATAGATTAATTTGTAAAACATCTATTTGTGTATGTTAAGCATCTTTTTTATGTAACAATTATCCTCTTCAGAATATTCACTTAATACACAATTGTCTAATATGTAAAATGTTAACAAAGCTTTAATTTTGAAATTACTTGACATTTACTACATTAAATAATTTTCAGACCAAAATAATAGTTCATTGTACACAAATAATGTCTTACCCGCTGAAATTCCTTTAACACAAAAAAAGAATGAATGAAATGAACACGGATAATAAAATAAATCAAACCATAAAAATAAGAAAATTAGTGAGAGGTCTACATGTTGTCAAGTGACTATAACCATCTATAAAGCTGCTCAAGTTGTCAATTCTACAATTGCAGCAACTTCTAGCTGGTTTTAGGCTATATCCAAATAATGTCTCACATTCAAATAAAAGTGATGAATCAATTCTTACAGATGGTTTATCTATCAAAATTATATGCCAACTATTTTTACTTTTTAAAATTTATTTTTGACCCTGCAGATACAATCTTCTGATAAAATACAAGATATGAATAAAATGTGTAATTCTTACATATATTTGGAGCTTTATTCTCTTCATCAGGAAGTTTGGGGACATGAAAACAAACAAATAAAAAAAAAATGCAGTAAAATCCAGCATTCCTTATTTAAGCTAAAAACAGACTCTGCTTACTTCCCTCAATTTCTAGAGCCCAGCACAGTGTGTGTGTGGCTCACTCCTGATCATCAATAAATGTTCAATTAAAGAAAACTGAAGTATTCTATTTCTTTATGACATAGCTATGACAAACTTTCATTTTGATTCGTGTGCATTTATGTAACTGGACTAGATTTATTAATTAATAAATTGATATTAGAAAAATAAAATCCCCAAACACACTTGAACCAAGGAGGTGTGAACATAACAGACACTGGTGTAAATTTACCAGTAAATCACAAATACACTATAGAGGAAGAGGGGCCATTTACAATAAGAAAATTTTGCAAAGCCATAGTTTACAAATATGATTTAGAAAGGGTTCTGTTATTCAAGTGATGAACGATCAATGTTTCACGTAATTAAAACTCCTGATGAAAATGTGAGTAACGAAAAAATCAGGAAAATTTAAATTTATAAGAGTCCGTATTTTCTTATGACTCATTTTCCTAAGTAAAAGAAAAAACAAATTTCAGATGAGGATAGGAGAAAACTGTTTACCCTCTGCTAACACTTAAGATCCCTAGCAAACGGACTGGGACAACTCGAACAGAAGTTCCTATGCCCATAAAGAAATGCAGATAGTTGTCTTGGTCTTTGTTGTCAATAGTAATCAAATTAACGAGAAAATTATAACAAAAAAGCCATTCTAATTTGGCATTTATAAGGACGTAGCATAATTAAAATTTTATTTGCATATCATATTTGCTGGTCAACATTTTTAGAAGCCATATATTTGAAAGTATTGATTTGTATCTATCTATAGGCACATACGTATATACTCACATGTGTATGTATACACACACACGCACACGCATATATAAACACACATACAAGGGATAGTTCTACTCTGTTCTATAGGGTCACTCTGAGTCAGAATCGACTTGACAGCAATGGGTTTTGGTTTTGGGTATATACACACATATATGTATATATATACACACACACATAGGTATGCATATTTGCCTTACTAGTAGTTAAGAGCTTGGCTACTAACCAAAAGGCTGGCCGTTCGAACCCACCAGTCACTTCTTGGAAACCCTATGGGGCAGTTCTACTCTGTCTTACAGGCTTACTATGAATCGGAATCAACTCGATGACAACAGGTAAAGTTATCAGAATAATGCAAAAGCATATTCCTCAGAGTCAAACTTTCTTAAATGTTTTTGAGATAATTCACAAAAATATTCCTCAGAATAAAGCAAAACGCATTCTATCATATTATGTTCAAGGAGTATTTTGAGATATTGTGTCCTGATATCCTCCAAGTTTCCAAAGGTTGAGGGCTGATGCTTGTTTTTCTTCCTAACAAAATTTGTTGAGAACGCATAAAAGCAGATTAAAGTATGTTAGACTCTTTAAAAGAAAACACGGCTTTTATGTAACAAAAGAAAAAAAAAAAAGCATTGCAAGCAGTTCTGAAAATATAACTGTGATGCAATTTGATAAATAGCCTTCCATTATCCAAGCCAGAGCAGTGGAAAAGCATGCTATCAGCACTGTCATCAAAGGCACTATTGATGCTTCTTTTTCTATCTCGTTTTCTCATGACATTTTATTTTATTTACTCAGTCAATAATTGGGAAAAAATGATTCCTTACCCCTTGGGTGACATGTGATGGAGTCTGCTGGCAAAGGGTCCTTTTCTCCGTCTTTGCTGTGGCCGCCGCTGCCTTCACTGCCAACATCTCCTTCAATCAGTCTATCCACCATGGCAATAATGCAGTTCAGGCTCTTCCCCACACTGGCCCACACCCTATCCTGAAGAGAGCATTAGTATCACTACACATTTTCATTGCAAAAACAAGATAGGGCGAAAACTGATGAATCCATTCAAGAGAAACAGTTGGAAGACTAACCAGTTAAATGTAGATTGAGTGAATAGCTATAGAACTCCCATTAATTTGGCAAGACTATGGACATAGAAGAAATCAATTTTCTCTTAATAAAGCAAAGATTAAGCGTGGTAAATCCTTTCATTCAGTACATTATTTTCACTCTGTCTTAAAAAAATGATGGACATGTAATACAATATTAATCCACTATTAAACACAAATTACGACGTTTTTAATTGGAGATATCTATTTTCATTTCCTTAGTAAGAAAGCAAAGGAACACCAATATTTTTAAAGAATGGCCACCAGTCACATCAGAAATTCTTAAAGTATGGTCTTCAGACCACCACTATCAGAATCAATGAGTATTAAAACACAGACCTAAATACAGATACCTGGATGCCACCAAGTCAATCAGAACCACTGGGGAGAAGCAAAACAACAACAAAATCTGTTCCTGTTGCTGTTGAATTGATTCCAACTCATGGTGACCCCAAGTGTGTCAGAGTAGAACTGAGCTCTATAGGGTTTTCTTGGCTGTAATTTTTACAGAAGCAGATCATCAGGCCTTTCTTCCACGGCTGGCTGGGTTAAAACCATCAACCTTTTGGTTAGCAGCCTATCACAAGCCATTTGTGCCACCCAAACACCTTCTGCTGTGGAGGAGGGTCTGTAAATTGAAATGTTAACAATCTCCCCAGGTGCACCTGACCACACTAAGTCTGAGGGTATGTACTCAATATAATATGGTACAGCAGACACTGTAGGTCATTCTGGATCATTTATTTCCTAGGAAGTAGTTCCTAATAGGAGCCTCCTACAACTTAGTGGGCTTCTTTGTCCCTAATCTTTTCATTTCTGATTAGTTCCCAGTTTTGTTTAGGGAAATGCATAAAACCAAATTATTTGATTCATACAACCTTGCTATTAATTTTTTTTAAATACAAATTTAAAACATAGTTATCATTATGGCAGCCTGCCACCCTTTGCTTTCCTTCTTGCTCCTCTTCCTACATTATTTAAATGGAGGAACTGACTGCCCTTCTCTCCCTCTAGGCATAAGAACCAAGAAGGGTTTATGGTACTCTCCCCTGCATCTTGCCATAAAGCAATCTTTCAGTAGGTGCTTTTTCTGTAATGGAGCTATTTCAGGCACTTAGAGTACCACTTAGTGCAAAGATAATACTCAGTTAAAGCACTTTCTTAGTAGTTTATATATATTTCCCCAAATTTATATATATGTATGTTTATATATATGTACATACATATATATATATATAATTTTTTCCTTGGTTAATTTTACTTGTTTCTAAACATATGAACTAAATTTTAGGTAGTTTATCTACTTAAAATCTTGGGAGAAAGAACTACAGTTGAACTTAGATTATTTGCTGGTTTGTTTGAAAAGATAGTTGAAAAAATGCAACCATATTAAAACAAATATATGGGTGTGCAGACTTGGACAATTTTAGCTGAGAGAGTAATAGGGATTAGTAGAAACACAATACATTTGAATAAGAAGAGGTAGTCTGAGGTATGAGGACATTGGTGGTTCAGGATAGAATTCTCGCCTTCCACGCAGGAGACCTGGTTGCGATTCCTGGCCAGTGCACTTCATACACAGTGACCACACATCTATAGGTGGATGCTTGCGTGTTGTTATGATGCTAAACAGGTTTCAGTGGAGCTTCCAGACTAAGATGGACTAGGAAGAAAGACCTGGAGATCTACTTCCAGTCTAAATCAGTCAGTTAAGATCCTATGGATCACAAGGGTCCAATCTGCAACAGATCATGGGGATGGCACAATACCAGGCAGCATTTCTTTCCATCGTACTTGGGGTCACCATGAGTAGGAGGCTAACTCCACGGCAACTAACAACAGCAGCAGTATTCAGGTCTAGTTATGGGACATGCTACCCGTGTGACATTGGGAAAATCACATCTCTGGGGAGATTCAGTTGTTTTGTCTACAAATTGGAATGATAACTGTTGCCCTGCCTGCCTCACCATGTATGCTGCAGTGCAATCCCAATGCTGTGATTTCTGTGACAGTGCATGGTTAAATCATTACAATTTAGCAAAATCACAGTCAATTCTTGCTGGCTTCCCTAATGAATCAACCTTGCTTTTCATCTTCCTATAATCTTAAGTGTGAAGTTTGCTATTAATAAAACATAATAATAACAATCTCTCCCTCAAAGGAAGGTCTTTACCCTAAAAGATTAAAAAAAGCTTCTCTTCTAAAGATATCAATACACCGATCACATCCGCAGATTATATCATCCTCTGCTTCTTACTTGAGAAGATGAGGTGACAGCACCTCTGAGTCATGAGGGAGAAGAGCTAAGGAAGCCTATCTCTTCCAGGTGGAAAGGCTGGGGAAAGTTAAGTAAGCTGAATGTCCTGACATCACTCATATTAGGATTCGGTGAGGAGCTTACAATCCAAACCACAATAACAAACTTAATGCCCTCCATTCTGAATATACCTTAATCACCACCACCGTGTCTTTAAAGCTATTAAATTTAAAAAATGAAGCAACTCTCCAGCTAAAACTGGCAATGAACTTTGCTACTGAGGAGAAAAGGGGAGGGGGCTCCTTTCAATTTTCCAGATGAGCTTTGTGCATGAGATAAATCTTTCACTCTCTTCTTATTGTCCATGTGGAAGAAACTTTGTATTTTGATCAATGATCAAATAGTATTGCATGCTGCCTTTTTTTATGTAAAGGAAGATAAAGGATGAATCATCTGCTCTTATTAATGTCTCTAAAAAGGTCTGAAGATAAGGGTATTTAAAAGGATAATTTGATATTCACATCTATATATTGTTCTTCTTTTTCAGATACTTCGGGTTATAGGATTCCACTGGTTGAAAAAAAGTAACATTTGCAGCCAGTAGAAAGACCTTTACTAGCCTAGAGTAGTGAAACATGTCCATTGTCCTAGACCAACAACTATATAGTAAAGGGTTACATGAAGAACAGTAGAAAAAACATTGAAGCGGTTAAATGCTTAGAGATATGAACTTTGAAGATGTTTGCTGGGAGTGAGGGGATTAGCAGAATTTCTTATGTAATACTAATGTACCATTCATGCATAATAGAGCCCTGGTGGCACAGTGGTTAAGAGCTATGGCTGCCAACCAAAAGGTCTGCAGTTTGAATCCACCAGCTGCTCCTTGGAAACCCTATTGGGCAGTTTCAGCTCTGTCCTATAGGGTTGCTATGAGTCAGAATCGACTCAATGGCAACGGGTTTGGTTTTTGGTTTATTCATACATAATAAAATATTATTGAAAATATACTCAGCAGCAAACCTAAAGCAAACCCATTCTATTATTTATCTTTTTGGAGAGCAGATCCAGTCTAGCTAGTGGTGAGAGACCTTTGTGCCCCACTGGCCACTACCTCCTTCTCACCCGCCTAGCACTGCATGTGCATCTCTATTACAGCATCTACAGAGTAGACTGAAGTTATTGATTTCCACCTCTGTCTTCAATACGAGGCTGTGAGTCATTTGAAAGCTGTGTCCTCACTACATAGTACAGGGTCTGGCACTCAATAAATTTTATTTGAAGAAAGGAAGGAAAGATGGCAGAGAAAAAGGGAGGGAGGCAGAAAGAGAGGGGTGACTTCACCCCAGAGATAGAGAGAGGGCTGGTATTTATATTCGCCTGGCATATATAAGCACTCGCTCATTTAACCCTCAAAAACCATGACAAAAGGTTAATATTATTGACCCAGTTTTTAGAGATGAGGAGACTACAGGTAAGAGAAGTTAAATAACATTCAATATTAAAATACTATAACTGGACCAGAAATTCAGGTCTCTCTGATGCCACAGACCTGACACTTCTCCTATGATTTTTCCACAGAATTGTGGTACAGAGTTAAAATTCCTCTTGGGGCATATTATCGGTACCCTAGAGACAGGGAAGACAGAAGAAGTTCAGTAGAGGGGGTCCAGAAAGGATTACATAGAAGCCTAAAGGGCTTGGTTATCTGAGACTTGAAAATGGGCACGTCCTAGACTAGGAGATGACTGTAAAAAATGCATACGTTGGTCACATGTACTCTTAAATCTGCAATCAAGAGTGTTATACAAGGAGGGAAGGAGCAGTCACTTGGCTAACTGGTCAGCCATCATGGGAATAAGGACATAAGCCGCCAACATTAGTAGAGGGCAATATCAGGAATAAGGTACAAAATCCATTACTGTGACGGGGACATAAAACAGAGAGTGAGTTATTGAGAGAAAAATCAATTATTTTGAAACTGAGACACTAAAGAAATGTCAGCAAGATTCCTGAAGATAACATTGGACCAAGAAACCTTGAATACCTGAGATCTCTCTTAAGCTATCCATTTTCCATTATATCTCTGTGAAAACATGCACAAAGCAGAATAACCAGCAAAAGAATAGCCCTTTTCTGAGGATTTTTACTCACTAAACAGGTCCACATGGAAATTCTTTTTGCTTAGATTGTTGTTATGGCTGGGCCCTACTCTACTTTCTTCCCTAGTATCTTGGTCATCTAGTGCTGCTATAACAGAAGTACCACAAGTGATGGCTTTAACAAAGAGAAATTTGTTCTTTCACTATCTAGTAGGTTACAAGTCCAAATTCAGGGCGTCAGCTCCAGGGGAAGGCTTTCGCTCTCTGTCAGCTCTGGAGGAAGGTCTTGTCATCAAACTTCCCCTGGTCAAGGAGCTTCTCAGTACAGGGACCCTAGGTCCAAAGGACACACTATTCTCCTGGCTCTTGTTTCTTCATGGTATGCGGTCCCCCCGTCTTTCCGCTCACTTCTCTTTTATATCTCAAAAGAGATTGATTTAAAACACAATCTAATCTTGTGGATTGAGTCCTGCCTCATTAATGTAACTGCCAATAATCCCATTTTATCAACATCACAGAGATAGGATT